ACTTTCCTGATAGAGACTATATACGCGTGGCTATTTGAGAGCATTTGGAGAGGGAGAGCTGACCCTCCCTACTCTCGGTCGTACCAGGGCATTTGAGGGCCTAGAGGTTAAGGGTTTTACGCTCGACAATAAAGGTCCTGGATTCGAATCACGTGCAACGCTCAGAAGTCCCGCAATAGGAAAAAACCTCGGTCCAGTGTTTCCAGGTTTCGAATAATGGTCTAACATCAATCAAGATTAATTGATTTTTCTCATCACAATATTAATGTTTCATTTAGTTCAAAAAAATAATAGTAAATTAACCGTCACTTTTTCATTAAACAGTTCAACATTCAGTAAATTATGGTAAATTATCAATGTTAATGATTGAATTCTCTGTTATTATCATTTATAAAGATCTTAATTCAAGTTAATAAAATCGATTTAAAGTTTAACCAACATTGAAAATTCAATGATATTCTATTGTGGACCATGGGGGTGGCTACTCTAACTTTCCATCAACTGACCAACTTCAGATATCCCAATAGGACCCCAATACTGTTCCCCAATCTCTAATATATCAAAACACTAACAGTAGATGAAAACTGTTTATGGGTCAGGAGAAGAAGAAGAATGGGAATAGGAACGATACTTTACAGACAAATGCATATTTATACAGTTAGGACCACTATAACTATTGACCAATAGGAAAATGACACCATTTCATGTTCAAGGATAGTATTAAACTTAGCAGGATCACTTTTGGGGATATTTTTCTAAATATCCCAACAAATTCATTACAGTTAATCTAATGATTTATTAGAATCATATCTTGTTGATGGCGAGACTCTAATTTGTGGAGAACCTTTGAACGACCTTGAGAAATATTAGACAATCAGCAAACAGTCAGTGTGGAGTAAAAATATATTATACAAAACCAAAGAAATAAAGTGGATACACTTCTTAGACGTGGCTCAAAAACCTGTCAACATTAGAAAAAGGTTCAGAGGTAACGCATGCATTAGAGGAAATCATCCAAACGGCTACAGAATAGTCGGCCTCTGGACTCATTCCAAAGTCTCAAAAACTCTTTCAGCGTCGACCACATAGCTTCAATATTGTTTATGTGCACTCAGGTTGTTGAGTGCACAAAATGCTAGTTATGGATAACAACACGATGCGCATAACCAAGCCTATGTAGGAGTCTGTACGCTCTCCAAACATCCGTATACATTGTAGTACCTGACTGCAACCAGTGTTACTGGTGCTTTTATTATCCAGTTCGCGATAATTGTCATAATTCGCCTTAGTTAGGAATTATATATATGGGGTTTTCATCACGAACTGACATAAGCTATAATGCCAGAAATTTATTTGGCCAAATGGATGAAAGGCTTTCGAGGCCAAAATCCGAGATCTGTTATCTTATACCTGATTGGTTCGTTCACAAATTATAGTCCTGCCGTTTTATTTGTTATAGCCGCTCAATTATCACGTTTTGTACAAAATCCCCTACGAACTGATCGTACATTAGCATTAAGTATTGAAGTTAGTGCCGTAACCTTGAAATCTCTCAAACGCTTATGATTGTCTCGTCCATAAAAGAGAGTCTCGCCTTGTTGATTAGTTGAAATTAGTAAGAAACTTACTTATTTAATTACTCCTGTTAATCCTCGTAGAAAAGTATAGACCGTCCCAACAGCATCCTCCATCTAAATCTGACTTGGGAAATACTTTCCAGTTGTTTTCAGTTACTATTCATCCTTCTCATGTTTACTTCCAATTCCTGACGAAACGTGTTCTTTGATCTTCTTCATTTCCGTTTCTATTCATGATTTCAAATTAATGCTTGCTTTGTGATTAAGTCTGACGATTTTCACAATGTATGTCCTATCCACCTTCAATAACTTTTCTTAATTTCCTCTTCAACTGGAAATTGATTTGTTTACTCTTACAATAAGTTGTTGATGATGGTATCCGATCAACAGATATTGGAAATTTTGTGTTGACAATTGTTTACAAATACATGTACTGTTTTGATAATGATGATGATTACAGTAGTTTTCCAAGTTCCAGCTCCGTACAGTAGGATTGTGTTGAAGATTCTCACTTTGTTGCAGCTTGACAACTGTTTTGATTTGCATATGTTCTTCTATTGTATGAATGCGGTCCTTCCTTTGATAATCCTCACTATTAAGTTTGGACCAGATCCTCCATGTTCATTAATGGTGTTACATAGATAAGTGGAACTTTCCGCCAGATATTTTACTTTTGATTGATTATACATACTACTTATATCTATTGAAATCAGATCACCTCTCTGAAAGTTATTCAAAAATAGGGAATAACTGAGAGGTACTGGTAATGTGACAATCAATTATATTTTTAAAGAATTATCTAATGAGTAGTTTAGAATTAAGTAATATATTATGCTTCTTAATTTTATTTCATCCATTTGAAATGTAGTACATGGAAGACATTTCTGTAAGTTATGTACACTATAATTGTTAGACTGATTAGTTTTTCTTATTAAACGTTCCAGTAATATAACTTAGTTGAGCTAAGAAATCTGTACACATCAAATATATACATAAGATATTATAATGGTTGGATGTAGTCGCCAAGATCTCTCGGTATCTAAGTTCCATGTTATTTTATACTTATCCGCAATATGTCATCGTGTCTTGGATAGTTCAACAGTAACATCTTTGAAAAATGAAGTTAGTGATACTAGAACGAATACATTGAGGAATGTCGATTCTCTCAAAGCTACAGGTACATGTTTCTAGTAAGTGCCAAATATTACAACATATAAATCGAACAGGCTTTCTATTTGACCATCATTAATCACTACCTTCAAATCTTGAGAACTATAAAATACCTTGTGTAATATGTTCTTAAACAGTTTGAATTGAACAGAGCGTATAATTGACTTTAGAAGCAGTTGAATTTAGACTATGTTTATGTTATAACTTGTGACCGTCGATTAGAGAGCAGTGACTTATCGATCGCACCAGTGATTCATAAAACACGTGCGAGCAGCCTAGAGTCCTGATTGATCGGTCCTGCTTTTCGCCTAGCCCAGTCAGTTAAGTCCAGAACACCAGTCTCAGCCTCTGCAATATGAATCATTATATTTTAAACATACTGAGTTTATATACCAATCAAACAGACCACATCGTACCAATAAAATAGGAAACAACATTTGTACAAGAATTAGCCAGATGTGGCTGTGAATGTGGGAGGTAGTAATTGATAGACTGGTAGAACGTATAATAATAGTTTATGGGTCAAAATAAAGCTTATAATAGGGGGAATATGAATATGCATATTTTATTTACTTAATAATTATACAACAGAAATATACGTCTACTATTGGTCCATCAATAGATCCTAAAGTTACCATTCGGAGCCTTTAACATAAAGGTCTAACTCACAAGGTAGTGTAGCAACGTCAGGAGATTAATTTCCATGGTAACCAGTGACCAATAATTGGTTCATACACTATGAATTCCTTCAAGATACTGGAGCCCATGTGCACCATTGGTTTAGAATCAGGGTTTTCCAACTCCACTAGATGGACTCTCCGTGTTAAAGTGTTGGACCTAACAGTTTATTCTATTCACATTTATTCTGTTACATATTACTACTAATTTCATTGTTTATCTTTTCTCATATATTAGAACAAAATTCATGACTATGGGACAATGATCATTTGATTACGTAATAAGTTGAATAGTAACATTCATTTAGTTTATTATGAATAATTGAACAAATAAATTCAATAGTAATGTATGACGTAATACAATTTAATGAATAAAATGTCAATGTATCCTCTATTCGTTTCTTCTTATCTTCACTGATTCATTCAATTCAATGATTCTGTTAAGTTCATTACTTGATTCATACAGAATATGGTAATACAACTACAACACTAGAACTAATGAAACCCTCATAGCCTCAAATCAGAAGATAGAGGAAGACTGGAGAATGTACTTGATGGGTAAGAATCAAAATATACAGAAAATCATAGGTATTTATAGATATCAACTTTTTTTATATCAACATTGTCATTCAGCCAATGCACAAAGAGGCAAGTTATGATACTGTCCAATCATAGCATGCCACGCTGATATTCTACACATGAAAACTTTTCGACTTCTTTAGAGCCGCTGAGGGCTCCGTCGTAGTTCTCGGGAGCTTGTCCAACAGGTTCAAATGAATTTAATACCGTTTACTATATTGTATTATTCATAATTCGTTGAAAAAAATATATGAAATGAAACAAGCATTAAGTTGGTAGGTGCTACTTACTTACCTACTTACTTAAGCCTGTTACTCCTCGTAAGGGAGCATTGGCCACCCAGCAGGTATAAATTAACCGTAAAAATCGATGAGAGTATATGAGATTATGTAATAATTGTTAACATTTGAATTTTGGCAAATCAATTGGGAATATTGGGAATTTTCACAGATTGAAATTATGAGTCAGTTGAAGCTAGACCACCATTGAAAACCTGGAAGCACTGGACGGCCGTTTCGTTCTAGTATGGGACTCCTCAGCAGTGAGTATCCATAATCCAGTGCTTCCAGGTTTTCAATGGTGGTCTAGCTTCAACCGACTCATGATTTAAATCTGTGAAAATTTCTAAAAATCTCCACAAACCCCTTCTGATAATATTGGGAATTATTGAAATCTTCAAGTATCGATAAAAAAAAACATCCAATCACGATTGACTGATCACTGAGTGGTGATCAGTTTCACATGTGTTGGGTGCAAATCGAATGCTATCAACCAAGTTGCAATGTGGCCAGCAGTCAAGATGATTCGACATTGCGTGCTGGAAGTGGATAGGACACACATTGAGAAAAGCACCCAACTGCATCACAAGACAAGCCCTCACTTGGAATCCTCAAGGTCAAAGGAGAAGAGGAAGACCAAAGAACACATTATGCTGAGAAATGGAGACAGACATGAAAAGAATGAACAACAATTGGATAGAACTAGAAAGGAAGGCCTAGGACAGAGTGGGTTAGAGAATGCTAACTGGTGGTCTATGCTCCATTGAGGTAACAGGAGTAAGCAAGTAAGTAAGTATTGTGATATTTACTATGATCATAGAATGGTATCATATTCAGCTGTTATCTATATTATGTTTCGTACTAATCAAGTCAGAACTTCATCAGTAACCCAATCAGTCAACATTGTCATGTTTACAATGAAATATGATAATAATTATTGAGAAATCTATTCAATTAATTACAATGAAGACAAGTTTATCAAGTTAAAATCAATTTGAATTAGAATTAAGTAGTGTTTGTTTAACAATCTTTACATCATTATAAAGATACTACGTTAATAATAAGGAGTCTCGAAGTAATTCATTCCATGGTTTCATCTTCTTTATAGAAAGTCAAGTAAATATTTCACCATTGCCCTACAATTGAAAAAGATACATATTGTCTTATTTGAGAAAATGTACTGATCAAAACGAATGTTGGTATTCGGAATAAACTTACTTGACGATTAAATTGTAATTTATGGTTTTCTGAGGGGGGGGGAGGAGCGTCTACCAGGAATCGAACCCGAACCGTCGGGTAGCAGGCAAGCATTCTATCACTGAGTTGCCGCCACCGAGGAACGTAACGCAGTAAGCTAAGTCAATAAGTAAACTTCTAGACTTTTGATGGAGTTTTGTTCTCTGAGCTGGATGGTTTGGTCGTGGAGATTTCATCGTTCTTCTGAATGACATCATCATCAGCACAAACTTCAGATAAAAGTGAAGTGTTCAAAGTTTGTGCTGATGATGTCGTTCAGAAGAACGATGAAAGTTCCATGACCAAACCATCAAACTCAGAGTACAATACTCCATCTAAATCATTCAACTGAACTACAAATCTTCTCCACCATCTCAAACTTCTAGACTCTAGATTTTTGATGATCAAACTCAACGAAGACAAAACAATCTCTAATCCGATACATTCAACAGAGCTTGTGCAGCACGACTTGGACATCCTCAAATCATATTATCTTGTTGATACTTTGTCCTCATGTCAACTTTTCTCATTGATCCATCCGGCGGATCGTTCCATTATGATTGTATTCAAAAATCCATTCTCCTATTCGACTTATTTCATTTCGTTATACACCAAAGCGGATTATACACGAATAATCAGAATGTATATTTCAATAATAATCATTCGTACAAACAAACTAGAGTCAGATATAGGGTCATAATCTGAAGGAATGAACTACTCTCACTTGGTAATGAATATGCATAAACACTCTTAAGATCGAATTGTAACTAGCAGTGGAATTTATCATTCAGTCTGAGGCTCACCAAGTGAACACACTTGGATTTCATTGCTTATGTCTACTCTAGAAAATAGATCTAGCAATATGTGCATCAAGCTACGACATGCTTATTCGTTGAGTTACTGAATTGAGATATTCACTTACACCACTGTGATCAATTCGGACACATGTAACCCGCATTCTCCAACAATTAGTTAAGATTGTCACGCGGACCTCAACCAAATAGTCTGCATCTATCAATATTGTTCATACCACAAGCTAGTGACTTCAAGCACTGATGCCACGTTTTGTTTTGGCCGCCCCTAACTTTCTTCCGACCCTCCTCAATACTAGTTAGCATTAAGCGTCGTGTTAATCAGTGTTCAGGAATACGTAATGTTGTGGTGATCCAGAAAACTTCTTTCAAAAGACAAAAAGGGCTCAGGAAACACTAAGAAGCATTTTATTCAATCAGTGTTCTCTTGAAGTTTAGCCAGAAACATCATGAAAGTGAAAAGTCATATGTAGAGTTTTCTGATTGGCTGGTTACTATACTGCTACTATGCTTAGTAGCATTTCAGAATTTTCGGGAAACCCAAAGACATCTAAAATACTATAAAAACCCTGTATTTTCTGTACGAAAACGAACCTTTGGAGTGAAGTGCTTCTCGCATATTTTACGCCTTTTCTCCCGTGTTTAGGTCGCTGTGTAGTTCTAACTTGAGGGTTGCGAGAATAGCTTAGGAACCGAATATAGCATTCAATTAACAAGACTTATCACGTAACATGTGGCCCAAACATCTCAGTCGATGAAGGTTCACAACCTCATCAACTGATTTACCACCATCATTCCCTAATACCATGTATCTGTCTAACGTTCCTACTACTTATCCGAGATATAACATACATTATTCTATGAAGGAAAACCCAACTGGGAATGATATTTCCAGTCAAATTCTGATGTTCCTTCCAACAACAAAAGGAACAAACATCTTGTATGTGTTAATTATAAGTAAGTAAATGGTATGACAATGGTCAACATGGAATGACTTCATTTTACTGAAAGAAAAAAAACTTACCATAATTTGTGAAGTAAATTTCTTTTTAAAAAAAAGAACAAACAAAATGTAAAATTGAATGAAACCATGATTGGAGTCAGTTGAAGCTAAACCATCATGGAAAATTTGAAAGCAATAGATAACTGTTTCGTCCTAGTATTGGACTCTTCAGCAATTAAACATCCACGACCCCGTCTCACAAGATTCTAACCCAGGGTCTATCGGTTTGGCGAGCGAACGCTTAATCTCTGAATCGCTGAACCGGCCAGCAACTAACAGTGTTATTGTCTTGAACTTTATGGAATGTGATACTTTGTTGAAATTCACTTGATGTTAGTCAAACTTTTGACTGGATTCCTGAAACAAGTCCAAAGAAGGTGTTAATTCTATCGAAGCGTCCAAGTAACCCCGATTGAGATACGCGCAAAATCGAAGTTCCAAAACAACGATTTGTCTACAATAGCGGTTTTTTATTGAATAATACACAAAATTTTGCTAAAAACCTCAACTTGTGAAGTGTCTAGGCGTTCAAACGCGTCCTTCAAGAATGAAAATAACAAAGGCTTCGATAGTACAAAGACAGCTAATAGCTGTGTCTAAATTTGATAACAGTTTATGAGCAACCGAAACTCGAACCAAGAGCAAACAATATGGAAACTGTTGCGTTTAAACAAATGCACAAAACTGTGGGTACCCGTTACAGTAATTTAAGCACAGTGATTATAATGATAAATACAATGATAAGTACAATGAACGTTAAAAATATATGTGAACATTTCAGAATGTCACAGTAGAACTCGAGTTACAACATAAGTGTGAAAGTTGTTCGGAATACTACTGCTTACTGAATGTAAATAAGTAGTATAAGACAATATACAAAAGAGTAGAAAGGGAACAATGTAAGACAAACTTAACAGAAGGTGTGTCTAGACCTAATGGAACTTATTCTTCAATGAAATAATAGAGCATATTAATAACATACAGTGGAAGATTCAACGATTCTGTCAATGAACTTTACTCAATGTTTCTATGAATTTCCGATCAAAATTTTATATATAAATCCTTGAAATTGTAAACCATTTCAAGATTTGCAGTTCTTTAGTTCATTCCTATGTGAGTGCTTATTTACTTACGCATGTTACCGCTTGTGGAGGAGCATAAACCGCTAATCAGTCTTCTCCATTCAGTCATGTCCTGGGCAATGCTTTTCAGTTGTTTCTAGTTGTTTTTCATCCTTTTTTATGTTTGCTTCCAATTCCCAAAGTAATGTGTTCTTCGGCCTTCTTCTTCTAGGTTGTCCTTCAGGATTCCAAGTTAGGAATTGTCTCGTGAGGCAGTTTGATGATTTCCTTGATGTGTGTCTGTTATGTGTCGACAGGGATAATGAATGATAACTTTTGGGACCCATTTGTGGACAAACACTATACTTACATTTTTATCATATAATTGTTAATTAACTACACTATTCATATTTATGTCTCTCTTATTATGAGATTTATTTTGACCCATAAACTATTATTATACGTTTTACCATTCTTGAGTTATACCCAGTCTATCAATTACTACCTCCCTCATTCACAGCCACATTTGGCTTATTCTTGTACAAATGTTGTTTCATATTTTGTTGGTATGATGTGGTCTGTTTGATTGGTATATAAACAGAGTATGTTTGAAATAAAGGATTCACATCGCAGAGGCCTAGATTGGTGTTCTGGACTTATCTGGCTGGGTTAGGCGGGAAGCAGGACCAATCAGGACTCTAGGCTGCTCGCACGTGTTTTATGCATCACTGGTCCGATCGATAAGTCGCTGCTCTCTAATTGGCGGTTACGAGTTATTACAGTGTCCCATCCACTTCTATCTCCTTTTCCTAATTTCCTTTTCATTTGGAAGCTGATATGTCCTCTCCCATAGTAAGTTGTTGCTGATGGTATCCGGTCAACGGTTATTGAGTATATTATGTAGACCATTGTTTATAAATAACTTTTACCGTTTTAATGATTGTTGTGGTAGTTCTCAAAGTTTCAGCTCCATACAGTAGAAGATTGTGACTATGATAATGGCTGACAGTTGTTTTGAGTTCCATATGTCTTTCATTTGTAGTTATGTTGTCATTGCCTTGCCAATCGTTGTCTTTACGTTTGCATCAGATCTTCCACATTCATGGATGATGATACTGAGATAAGTGAAACTTTCCACATCTTCCAGAGTTCGTCCACCAAGTGTGATTGAGTTGGTGTTCTCTTTGTATCATTTGATACAGTGGCTTCTGCTACACTGTTTATTCTAACCTGCATTTGTTGATGTGTATGGTTACAGAAGAGCTAGGTCATCTACGAAGTTCAAATCGTCCAGTTAATTCCAAACTGTCGATTGAATGACTTTTGAATAGTTGATCATAAATGTATGTTTAAACAACAAAGACATAAATAATCGATAAAAGGAATGTTTAAGATCATGAAAATTACTCACAGTAGAATTTGATATATTGACCTGTGAAGAAAAGAAATACACATGTAGTGTATTCATACAGTCAAATGATAATAATCTCAATGGATTATCAATCTGATATCTAAGTAAATGTAGAAAATTAGGGTTTCAATATACACTCTGTGAACTTAGATTTGAAGGTGGATGTATTATTTAAACCAAATTGATTATTTGAAACTGTCTTCATTCTACCAATGCTAATTTACAGCAATGAAGTTGGTTAACGTTGAATATTTCTATGGTAATATGATCAGTTTAGATAAAATACGATTTAAACAGTCGAGATCATGAGTCAATTGAAGCTGGACCACCATGGGAAACCTGGGAGCACTAGACGGCAGTCTTGTCCTAGTACGAGACTCCCCAGCACTACGTACGCACGACCCCGCCCCGCGGGGTCCGAACCCAGGACCTATTGACATCGCGCCAGGAGCTTAACCAACTACACCACTAAGCCGTTGCCCAACGATGTTAATGTCTAACTTCAACTAACCCACGAAAATTGAGTGACACATCCACCATTGTCATCAGTGATTTACTACCTGGTCACTGCTTCTCACTAGAACTCCAGGATATATATCTTGAAGCCAGTCACTAGTGAGTATACATTGATTAGTATCAAAAGGCATTTTGTGGAGATTATAGTAATTTAAACAGTTAAGACCATGAGCCAATTGAAGCTAGATCACCATGGAAAACCTGGAAATACGATTTGTTTATTGTCAAACTAGCATGACTAAACCAAAATGTCACATCAGTCCATGAAGTCACTAACTTGTAGTGTGAGCCAAGTTGATAAATGCAGACTAATTGGTTGAGGTCGGCGTGACTATTGTAACCAATAGTTGGAGACTTTGGGTGGCGTGGCTCAGAATCGATCACAATGGCATCGGTGTATACATTCTCTGTCCTCCTCTAAACTATGCGATTAAAATCGCTTTATATCTTTCTTTCTACCAACTAATTCTTTCTTCGTCTATCATATCCTTATACACAATCTTTCTTTTATATATTATCACTATTGAATTAACTACTTCTATGAATCCGACGTTCGTCTTGCTGTGCTAATTAGGTATGGCAACTTGGACTGATGCATATATGTGTGCCTACTCCTACATTGGTGATGATGATTATAATAACGAATAATGAAATACACCATGATGTAATCAATTGGTTTCATTGAAAATATTAGTAATCGTTCGCAATTGAGAGGTAAATAGAAAGTTCCATTAAACTTACGATGATTCTTCACTATCTTCACTAGAAAACAAAACAGTTACGTAATGAATATCTCAAGGGTTATAAATTTACATCAACGGAATTCTAATACAAACTACACATATTCAACTATTAATAAACTGCCAAAAACTATAATCATAAACATGATCCATACTTGTTATTAATGTGGTATCAGTCTAGTTCTTGGATATACTCTAAGGTTGATTTGGCAGTTACCGTATTTTCTTCACCGTCACAATGCAAGCCCTCATCTGAAATCTTCAAGGCCAAAGGAGAAGAGGAAGACCAAAGAACACATAATGCCAAAAAATGTAGACAGATATGAGAAGAATAAACAACAATTGGATAGAACTAGAAAGGAAGACCGAGGATAGAGTGGTTTAGGGGAATGCTGGTCGACGGTCTGTGTTTCATTAAGGGTAACAGGCGTAAGTAAGTAAGCAAGTATTTTCTCCCTGATAGGGCGATATAACGAACAATTTGTCTCAGTGTGAAACAATAACAGGAATACACAAGGGGAAACCATCTTAAGTTGGTACAAAATTACTGGATCTCTTGGTAACATATGAGAACTACATATTGAATACTTCATTTGCAAAATTCCATCATTTATTCGCCACATTCTTTATGATTCTTTTAGTTCAAAATTTCTTTCTGTTTCCCTGATCTTCTTAGTTTACTGCTGCCAGATTTTCCACTTACGACTGATGTTACATACTACTAATATCTGTCGCTATCAATAGCATATACTACAACTGTATCAAATTAATAATTGATCATAAAATTTGTGAATGTAAAATTTGACAAATTGTAGAGTATATCTCCTACATATCATTCAAAAATTTCAATACACATTTGATACTCCTACTCATACTCCTCCTCCTCCTCATCCTCCTGCTCCTCCTCCTCCCACTACTACTACTACTACTACTACTACTACTACTACTACTACGACTACGACTACGACTACTACTACTACGACTACTACTACTACTGCTACTACTACTACTACGACTACTACGACTACGACTACTACTACTACTACTACTACTACGACTACTACTACTACTACTACTACTACTACTACTACTACGACTACGACTACTACTACTACTACTACTACTACGACTACGACTACTACTACGACTACTACTACTACTACTACTACTACTACTACTACTACGACTACGACTACTACTACGACTACTACTACTACTGCTACTACTACTACTACTACGACTACTACTACTACTACTACTACTACTACTGCTAATAATAATAATAATAATATTAGTAATGTTTTTGAAAGTTATAACAAATTAGAACATTTGTTAAGCGCTCACGTCGTAGGTTCTCTAGGAAGAAACATCACAAATTGTACAATTGGATAATTTCACAAACCATAAAGAGATGGATTGGTCTGATATTGGATAAGGTAGGCTAAATGAATATTCATTCATATACAATAAACCTACGATAATAATAACCATAACAACAGTTATCTATGCATAGGAAAATTGGTCTTATCTAAACTTGGAAGCCCTAGATGATCGTTTCGTTCTAGTGTAAGATTCACTAGCTATACAATCATCAACCCTCAGTACAGTAATCGAACTCACAACCTTAGATCTCGTATGCAAACGCCTAACATCTGGACATCTAAATCTCTTTTGATAGGATGAATGTAACAGAAGCCATTTTAATGAAAAGGTCAATCAATGGCAATCAGAATTCGTTTAAGGATCAAGTTCAGTTCATTGGGTCATTGAATCAATTTCCTAAGGTTAAAATGGTATATATATGGATGTGTATTTATACATTTCATTCGGTAGTCCAATACACCTTCTCACCTACTCTTTTGTTTTCGCTCAAGTGGTCAGTTGAGGGGGTTAAGGCTAAGTATACCATGTCTCAGTATTAGACTTCGAACACTGCACGTCATAACATCCTTTATGTAGTAAAATGGATCATTAAAAATGAATCCATCTAATAATTTATGATCATATCAAACATGATCTAAAAACCCAATATAAAAGAGAGGATCTTGACTTTTGAACATATTGTTAATTGGTGTAATACAGTACTGAAGTGTTTACGGTAATAACTAATGTATCCGATTCTAAATTCCCACCTGAACAATAGATTGAAGCAGTTAACCAATTTCTGAATTAAATATTCATCATTGAAAACAACAACGTATGAACCCCCTTCATGGTTCCTGTACAGTTGATAAATAAATGTTTATTACTGATCAATAAATTGATTGATCACTGAGTGTTGATCAATGTTATGTACGTCAGATCCTCTTTAGTTCAGATTGACTCCTATCGATCAAAGTTGTAATGTGTCTGTAGTAACCGAGAACACAAGTGAGGACCATCGAATTATAGACTGTCTCATTAAAATCTGTGAACTATACAGTAAGTACTTCATTTGCTAAATATCAGTCCATTGTCTTAAAGTTGATTGTTTCCTTTTGTAAATATCAGTCCATCGTCTCAGATTTCATTGTTCTTGCATCTTCATATCAGTTGCTTTCTTTTCCCATTTTTTTCCTCTTCGATCTTCATTAGATTCTGCTGCCAGTGTTATATATTACTTATGTTGACATAAGTAGTACACACCACACGGCCAATAGTCTAGATCAATCGACATTGCGTTCACTGTTGACTACCTCCAACCACCATCTTAGTTGTTATTTCAAATTAATGTAGTACCTTTTCAAAAAAAAACTTATGAGAAACTCACGTTGTGGTTGTTGTAATTCTGTATAATGCAGATTATAGATAACCTCAGAAATGTTGAATTATGGAATTGAGAAACATTAGAATATACTTAATAACATTCATGATAAGACCAATCAGTCCAATCAGCTACAATGTAGGGCCAGACACATATATGCATCAGTCCAAGTTTCATACCTCATTAGTACAGCACCCACAGTCTCCAAACATTAGTTACGATAGTCACGTGGACCCCAACCAAGTAGTCTGCATGTATCACCATGGCTCAGACTAGAAGTTAGTGACTTTAAGGATTGATGTTACATTTTCGGTTCGACCGCCCCTAACTTTCTTCCAACAGTCTCCAACACTAGTCAACATTGCACGTCAATGTCAGGCAGTCAGCTACATTGTAGGAACAGGCACATAGATACATTGGTCCAAGTGATCGTACCACATGAGCACAACAAGATCAATCACGAATTCATAGAAGTAGTTAATTCAATGGTAGTAAATATATATCTATATACCTACGCCATTGTGATCGACTTTTATCCATATCACCCAATGTTATTAGGTGTTGGCGTGGAAGTATATCAACGACTAATAACATTGTATCTAAAAGATAAAGTCATCACAATACATGTAAATAGTAGTTTTTATATTTAGAACCCAGTTATAAGTATCGTATATACATAAGAATGTGATAGAAAAAGGTATAAATAAAGTCATAAGTAACATATTCTTTTAACAATGCATAACATACTCCCAAGTTGGTTCCACCCTGAAGTTATAATGTTATAATGCAAAATAAACAAAGACATAATCCTTTAAAGAAAAAATTCGGAATGCTTTTATTATCAAAAGGAGGATTTTGTGAAGATTGTAATAAGTTAATAGTTGAATTCGAATTGTATAAGTGAGATTGTGGATGAGCATTGATGAGGAGTACTATACTGGGACGAAACAACCGTCTAGTATTTTCAGATTTTCCATGGTGATCTGCAGGAATAAAATTGCTTTATATCTTGCTTTCTACTAACTAATTCTTCCTTCCTGTACTATGTCTTTAAATGAAATCTTTCTTACCATTATTGAATTCGGTGTTCAGCTTGCTGTACTAATGAAGTATGGAAACTTGGATCAATGCATTAATGTGCTTGGTTCTATGTTGTAGCTGACTGACTGACAATCATCCTTTAATTATGAACTGTTTAAGATATATTTGTTCAGATATATGCATAATTTAATCTTCCAGACAAGCATTGAATAAAATTTTCATATAGTTGGAGATAGTCTTCTATAAAGATGTTTACTATTCTAACCAACTGAGGTACCAAAATCAATGTCCTCAGTGATCAAATGTATTGGTCATAAATTTCCATTCACCGTAATCACGAATAACTAGTTTCCTTCATCATATATCACTTTTCCACTGTTAGTTTGATATAAATAATATTTGTAAATTGAGCAAAGATGGATAGTGGCTAGCAGTGGAATCCAGGAAGTGCGTTTCAGTACTGTGTTCGGGTCCCGAAATGAACATCAAGTCTGAGATGCAGGTACAATCAGCCGACGAGTCCAAAATCGGACGAAACGCGCGTCAAATTGGATCCCACAGCTAACTACTATCCATCTTTGCTTAAAAACTTATGACAACACTAGATCGAGGCAATCCTTATAAGATGTACATATGCTAATAACAGACTGACTAATAGCAGTCCTAAATAACAATGAGAAGATACAAGTAAAACAACATCAAGTGAATTTAAACTTCACCCCATTGCACGAGTAAGTGACTATCAAGACTCAGTAGCTAAATGGAGAACGCGATGTTGCTAAAAGCGAAACAGCCGCCCATTACTTCCAGGTTTTCCATGGTAATCCAGCTTTAATTGACTCATGAATTCAATTATTTTAAAAGAAGCCTTGTTCATCTTACACCAGTTATAAAAATAGACCATACTATAATGTAAGAAGTAGTTACAATTAATTGATCACTGAATGGTGATCAATTTCATGTTTGTCAGGTTCTTCTTAGTGCAGACTGTATCCTGTCGGCCAATTTGTAATGTGGCTACTAGTCTACGTGATTCAACATTGCGTGCACAATGTTGAGGTAGCCGATAGGAAACCCGAGACCTAGGATTGGAAATTGCTGGTTAGGATTCGATCTGCATTCAGAAAGACCTGACACACATGAGAGTGATCACCGTCAACTGATCAATCAATTTTAAATACATCATAGTCTTACAGGATGTCAATCGCAACCCAAATTGAACAGTGGTAACGTCTCTGAATGTGAAGCTGCGTGACACGAGATCAAATTCGTCAATGAGTATTAGTTCCCTCAAGATTACAGGTACCCTTTGCTAACGAGTGCCAAGTAACACGAAACTTTGGTTCCGGATTTCCTGATGACTACCTCCAGCCACTATCTCATCCTAATAAGTAGTACATATATTCTTTAATAAGTAAAATATTTCAACACACTGATAATCTATGTTTTATCATGTTACCGTTATTTAACTGCATGGAGCCCTCCTGGGGCTACTACCTGTCACAAACCCGGATAAAGAAGAAGAGTTGAGCATAAGCTTAGCAACCCCATCCCGTAGAAAATTAACTCGTTAAAAACACGCTAACCATAAGTAGAAAACATAATGAAAATACTTGATTGAAACTTACTCTGTTACAGTTTCTTTTGGGAAAAACTCTAATGTAAATCATTTGATGAACAATTAGAAAATTATTCATTTCACTAATACTTAAAATAATGACTAATTATAAAGTAAAATGTACAGATATTTCATTCCTGATATAATTATGAACATATTCTGTTGTGTACTACTGATGTAAACAGATATAAGTAGTTGTAGTAGTATGTATCATCAATCGGAAGTGAAATACGTGGGGGGGGGAGGCAGAAGGTTAATAAGATCGAAGAAAAAGAACGAGAACATAGAGTGATTGCTATGGAGACGAAGGAACAATCAAGTCCGAGACAATTATTTGACATTTTGTGTGTTCAGACACATTCGATTGTCTCTACTTGTGCGTTGTCGTTCATTACAATATTAGTCGATTGTATTCAGTATGGAATTTCAGTCATTCGCTTTTTTGTAATAGTTGATGACTTAAACTAATACAAATTCAGGATTTTACTTACTTACTTACGCCTGTTACAACTCATGAAGGAGCATAGGCTACTCACCAGCATTCTCCATCCAACCCTGTCCTGGGCAGTCCTTTCCAGCTCCTTCCAGTTCCTATTCATTCTTTTCATATCTGCTTCTATTATCCGACTTAATATGTTCTTTGGCCTTCTTTTTTTCCGCCTTCCTTCAGGATTCCAAGTTAGGGCTTGTCCCGTGATTCAGTTTGACGATTTGCGTAATGTATGTCCTATCCATTTCCATCGTCTTTGACTAATTTCTTCTTCAGCTGGAAGCTGGTTTGTTCTCTCCTACAGAAGTCTGTTGCTGATGGTATCCCGCCAATGGATGTTGAGTATCTTGCGTAGACACCTATTTATAAATACTTGTACCTTCTTGACGATGGTTTTAGTAGTTCTCCAAGTTTCAGCTCCGTACAGTAGAAATGTCTTCTTCTTCATTTAAAAGATTCTGGATTACTCTATTTTTATTCATTGAAGTAATGATAAAAAATTCATATCAAATACTATTCCTTTCGCATTAATTAGTGGAATATACAAACAATTTGTTTTCATTTCATTGTGCTTAATTCATCTATTATAGATTTTTGATGAGAACTTAAAATTCTATTATCTGATAGAAGTGTGAGACGCGTTTCGTCCTATATGGGACTCGTCAGCTAGATGGACCTACATTCCAAATTTGATGTTCACATCGGGACCCGAACTCAATACTGATCAATTATAGTTCTAAACATCAATAGTAGAAGAGTGTTGACGTTCATATTGAATTTCATATATTCTTTAGTTGTAGGAATGCGACTCTTCCTTTGCCAATCGTTACCTTTATGTCTGCATTAGATCCTCTTTCTGCATTGATGATCCTTCTTAGTTACATAAATGATTCCACATATATTTCAACAATTTATTGTATTTGTTTTCATATAATAAGAGTTTAAAACATAATTCTTGTAAGCACTATTGTAACATATAAAGATACACATATATGGATGTTAATGTAGGGTGTAAAGTGAATGATTAGGTACTTACCTCTAGGTATACTAATGAGCACTACAATATAACAATCATGATTAGACATATTGATTAGTGTTTTAAGACTTACTTTTAGAATATAGTCATACAAAGTATATAGACTGATATCAGAAACTGTTTGGAAGTTCTATTGATACCCATACTACTATTAGATTATACCTACAGCAGACATCATGTGTATCTATATATTATTGAAGAGTAATTTATTCCAACATATAACAAACAAAGGAAATGGCAAGTCTTGATTACAAACTTTGTTACCATAGCAACGAGATCATACATCAGTCCCTGGATATGATCTTACGAAGTCAGGGTAAGGCTGTAAAACGTTTTACTCAATCTATATACTGTACAAGACTATCTAGCGAATTGATCGATGGTGAGACTCTAATTTATGGACAATCTTTGAATGAATCTTAAGTAACCTTGAGAATGATTTGCCAATCAACAAACAGTCAGTATAGAGTGAATATATATGTTATACAAAACCAAAGAAATAAAGTGAATACACTTCTTAGACGTGGTTCAAAAACTTGTCAACGTTAGAAAGAGGTTCAGAGGTTCTAAAATCGTTATGTATGCAGTAGAGGAAATCATCCAAACGGCTACAGAATAGTCGGCATCTGGAGTCATGATAAAGTCTCAAAAACTTTCAGCCTCGACCACATAGCTTCAATATTGTTTATGTGCACTCCGGTTGTTGTGTACACAAAATGTTACTTGTGGATAACGACACGATGCACATAACGAAGCCTGTGTAAGAGTCCGTACGCCCTCCAAACATCCGTATATATTGTAGTACCTATCTGCAACCAGTGTTACTGGTGCTTTCATTATGCAGTTCGCGATAATTGTCATAAATTTCCTTAGTTAGGAACTATATATATGGGGTTTTCACCACGAACTGACATCAGCTATAATATCAGAAATTTCTTTAGTCAAATGGATGATAGACTTTCGAGGCCAAAATCCGAGATCTATCACCTTATACCTGATTGATTCGTTCACAAATTATAGTCCCGCCGTTTTATTTGCTATAGCCGCTCAATTATCACGTTTTGTACAAAATCCTCTATGAACTGATCGTACATTAGCAATAAGTATTGAAGTTGGCGCTGGGACCTTGAAATCTCTCAAACGCTTCTGATTGGCTCGTCCATGAATTATTGTCTCATAGAAAACTGTACTGTCATTATCTCAACTTATAACATAATTATGATTCATTATATATTGATCACAGATGAATTGTTGTGCGGACAAACCCACTGTGAGTTTGTTAAGGATGAAAATCATGGATAATAATAATAATAATAATAATAATAATAATAATAATAATAATAATCATCATCATCATCAATCCATCTTCTCTCACTTCTCTTTTACATAGTTCATGATACTTTCAATCCTGTTGTTTATCCGATTGATTTGTGTTTTCTTTCTATTTCTCATTAATTTAATTTTCGTTTGGTGAACATTCCACTTTCGTTTTCTACTCCATACTACTTATATTTATGTATATAAGTAGTACACATCACATGATGATTAGTTATGCAATTGGTATTATTGTTAAAACTGTAATGATAATTGTCTTTATTGGTTAGTGTATCACTTCTAAACATGTCTATGTGTTTGTATCTTTATTCAGGAATTAGGCAGTCCACTTGTAGATTTCTTTTCGATATGCTTGAATAATGATTCCTTAATAATAACTTAATAATTACTTACTTACTTACTTACGCCTGTTACTCCGAATAGAGCATAGGCCGATGACCAGCATTCTTCAACCCAACAATATGACACTACTCATTCCGTTGTGAGAAATGATTCTACGTATCTCCTCGATAACCATTTCACTTGGATGAGTGATAGTTTAACCCCAGAAATGTATAAACACCAGTTGATGATATGTTCTACTTACAGATTATTATCATGTTCGTAAAGCAATTTCATCTAAACTACAACGTTGACCTCGTTTATGACCGAATTTGAGATGAACTGCTAGATGAATTTGAAGTATACGTAGACATTCGGCATAAATGTCCCGATAAGTAGCGAATTGATTGTATTTTGAAAATGTTTTCCGTTATAACTCTACTAATTCCGTCGTGAGAAATGATTCTATGTATCTCCTTGATAACCATTTTACTTGAATGAGTGATAATTTAACCCCAGAAATGTATAAACACCAGTTTGTGATAGGTGCTACTTAGAGATTAATATCATCGTCGTAAGGCACTTTCATCTAAACTACAACATTCACCTCGTTTATGACCGAATTTGAGATAAGTTCTTGATGTTTTATTTAGAAATCACCTAGATAAATTTGAAGTATACGTAGACATTCGGCATAAATGTCCCGATAAGTAGCGAATTGATTGTATTTTGAAAATGTTTTCCGTTACTGTCTAATCCAATGGTTTCAATGGTCATTTGTTCGTCATGATATTTTAAGGTTGTAGTGTCAGTTGATATGTTAAGCCCATATTACCTTATTCTAGCTTCTGAATAGGCCAATCTATTCATTCTATTTGAGTCACATTTTCACCTTGTTAATTATTCGCTTATCAATCTTGACTGTTTTTATACGAGCGCATATGTGTGCTCTTCTTATCACATTCATCACATGTCAGTAACTTATTTTTGCTTGACCGTAGATATTGAGTAACTCTTGGTTAAATGGAGTTGGCTCACATGCACTCTCCACTGTGCGTCATTTCGCTTCGCTCTCTTCTCTTCGTTTTATTTCTCGACTGCCTGTTCAAATCAATCAGTGCATGAAATATACACATTCAATAATCCATTCTTTTATTTGACTTATTTAATTCAGTTATTGACTAATGCGAGTTAATTCGATGATAATATACGAGGATTGACGATATGTATATCTCAATAGTAATCAGAAACGATGTTACTGGAGTCAGATCCCCTGACACTAAAGTGATGAGCCCATCGACAACACCATGCGGTCTAATTGATATCAAAGTGAAGGGCCCCATTAAAAAGTTGTGAATTTGTATTGCTTAGGTGGTACATATTAAGATTTAAGCACTATCCAAAATTGGATGGTGATGATATACAGACACATGGAAGTTGACTTACTTGGCGCTTCTGTAAATACAAAGAAATTTAAAGTAAATATCAATGTCCGTATCATGTAAAGTATAAAATAAGAGTCAAGAACGCTTCACTTCAAGTTACTGTACGTAAAATACATTCCACTTGATGAATGATCTTACAGTCGATGAAAAGTAATTTCAGTAGCATCCATTTGTGCTTTGAATAAATCTTATCTTTACATTCCATTGGTCAAAGTTAGAATTCCAATATTGAATCAGCTTTCATAAGTTTACGTCATAAATCTCAACAAATTAGTGATATTTCATCATTCTCTATCTACTTCTAATTCATTTAGTCAATCAAGAATTACATGGAACCATCGTGTGTAATTTGTATTTATGGAAAACTCTGATGGGAGTTTTGTAGATATTATGGTAATTTAATAGTTAAATTCATGAGTCAATTGAAGCTATACTACCATGGAAAACCTAGAAGTCCCAGTATGGGACTCCTCAACAGTGCATATGCACCACCTCGCCTCGTGGGATTGGAACTCAGGACCTATCAGTCTTTCGCGGGATCGAGCTAGCGCACTACTGAAAAGTCCCACAATAGAACGCAACGGACGTCTAGTGCTTCCAGGCTTTCAATGATGGTCTACGCTCAATCGACTCATGGTCTCAACTATTGATAATAAATTATACTAAACTATTTTAAATTATTTGCTACTTTTTACGTCGCAAAACAATTTTGACATGTCAGCATTTTCCAATCCGTCGGTAATCGTTTAAATGATGTGTACAAAGACAAACGGTGGTAACTTTGAAAGAAAACTCAATGATCCAATCTTTGGAGACTGTAAGTATTAAACTTCCAAAACAAAATAATATACGGATAGGGCATCTACCAAGAAGTGTAACAGGTGAGTATGGTAAGACTATAATTTATGGACGACATTTGAGCGACGCCTAAGTGACTTCGAGAGTGTATACCTATTTACTAGAGACAAACTGACGGTTATAAATCAGTTCGAAGAATAAGGATTATGATTCGTAATTGATGCTTAGTGTTAGTCATTAGATTTATAGTTTTCATCATGAATTGACAACAGCTAAAATGTTAAGACGCTATTTGGTCAAATGGGTGAATGAATTTCGCGTCAATATCCAAGACCTGTTTTCCTAAATCTGATTGGTCCGTCCATAAATTATAGTCTCGCCACTAATATTTCACAAAATATCATAATGGTTACTTTTCATACAGGCAATATCAACGTGATTCAATTTGACACAGTCATTTAACATTGTTCTTCTTGAAAGTTAAGGATAGATAATCAGCTAAACGTTTTAGTTTATAGCTCGCTGGTGTCAGATTAAACAATACTGGCTCAGTGTTCTAGAGATTCAGAGTTCACGTACGAGACCAAAGGTCATGGGTTCGGATCCTGTGTGCTGAACGGTGGACGTGTACTGTTAGAGGAGTCCTATATTACTAGAATGAAACGGCGGCACAATGCATCCAGGTTTTCAATGTTGATCTAACGTTGATGCATTCATAATATCAATCTAAGGTCAATAATCTCTACAACTACCCTTTATATTTATTGTATTTTTTTAAACACATAAATATTAGTACAAGAAACCATCAAATACATATGCGTCACACCAAACTCATTTGATTTGTGTGAGAGCTGGGATAATAATCGGGTGCCCAAAATGAAACGGGTGGTTTTATTAGGAGGCCACACACCGAGCTTTTGACCTAAAGGTCTAATCCACAGGGCACTGGAGCAACGTCAGGAGATGCACTCCCATAGTAGCCGGTCACCAATAACTAGTTCATACTCCAATCGATCCCTAAGGATCCTGGAGCCCATGTACACCATTGGTTTGTATCCAAGGCTTTACAAATCCCCTTTCTATTCGTATCAGAAAACAATGGTAGGTGTGTTGCTCAACTTTTTGAATTAGTTGAAGTTAGACAGTAAAACCATTGGATACCTTCCAGCTCAATGATCAAGAGGTTAAGCGTTCACACGCGAGACCGATAGGTCCTGTGTTTGAATCACATGAGACCGGATCTTGGATGCGTACTGCTGAGGAGTCTCATACTAGGACAAAACAGACGTCTAGTGCTTTCAGGTTTTCCATGGTAGTCTAGTTTCAATCGACTCATGATCTCAACTACAACTACTCTTCCAGTGTATTAATTGCTAACACATACATTACATTCAATTTACATTGTTAAAATATATTTCAATTATGATTTCATATGTAATAATAATCATGAATAGTTACATGATACAGTATGACTTACTTCCACCTCCATTGATCCCTTCGAAAAGAACAAACAAAATGACAACAAGGAGAAACATCAGATTAATCCTATTGAATTTGTTTGCTAATGAAAGGAAGAAAAAAAAGAGAAAGTATAATCCAATTTAAACAAAACTATCTCAAATAATGAATTCATTAACACAATCACAATTATAATCATACAAATGAATCTAATAATGATAATGATGATAGTAATGATGATGTTGTGTTTTTCTGTGTATAATGTAAATCGATGAAATTGTGCAGTGTGCAATATGCAATGTGCAATGTCTAATTACAAATCATATGATAAATGATTTGTTTTATTATGATTCGATACATATGGAAAAACAGTTAAAGTACGACGGAACTAAATACCTACATAAATTATGCTAAAAAATGATAAGAGAATCGAAAAAAATGAAAAAAAAAAATTCACTACATTTTCTAATGACTGGTTGATTGCTAATTGAGAGTAACACTGATTGTGTATGTTTGATATAAGTAATTGGAATGAAAAAATAAAAAAGATTCTACATTGTAATTTATAATACTGAAGTATGAGAAACTAGACAGTTTTCTTCTTCTGTTAGTTTCTTTTTTTATCAAAGGAAAACACTCACTAACATAAACCATATTGGAATATTTTGATATAGAATAGGTATTTTCAAAAATGATTTAAGTTGAGATTAGAAATTTATGAACAAGCCAATCAGATGAGTTTTTTTGAAGGATTTCAAGGTCATGGCGCAAATTTCAGGACTTGATGTTCATGTACAATCGGTTCATAGTGAATTTTAGAAGAAACAAAATGTGATCATTCAGTGACAACTACCAATTGGATTATTAAGATGTTCCTTTATTTGTGAATGTGGTAATCAAATGACTTATGCCTCGATATTGCCTTAATTCACAAGCTTTTTGTAAACAATGATGGATAGTGGATAGCAGTGGAATCCAGGACGCGCGTTTCGTCCTATTTGGGACTTATCAGTTGGATGTACCTGCATCTCAGCTGACGTGTCACAAATAGGACGAAACGCGCGTCAAACTGGATTCCACTGCTAACCACTATCCATCATTGTTTACAAATAGCCTGTGAATTAAGGCAATATCGAGGCATACGCGTAGTATGCACATATATCAATAACAGACTGATCAATCGCAGGCTTAAACCTTAATGGGAAGATACACGCCAAATAAAAGCAAGTGAATTATGTATTTCAGTTAACTTAAAAATCAGATGGACAAGTTTGATGTAAATATTCTAAATTATAGAATGGTCGTTAATTTAAATTTATCAGGTTGATAACTAATTCATATTATGTGACTATCAACTTCATCTAAATTTGTAAGCGAAATTTCTTCACGTCAATTATGATATTAAATTTGTCTTATTGAAATTTTTCAATAGTTGAGATCATGAGTCGATTGAAGCTAGACCAACATAAAAAACCTGGGAGTACTGGACAGTTGTTTAGTCCTATTATGGAACTTCTTATCAGTACGTATGCACGATCTCGTCTCGCGAGATTCGAACACAGGATCTATCAGTTTCGCATGTGATCCCTTAACCTCTAGACTATTGAGTCGGCCAGCATCCAACGGTGTTAGTGTCTAACTTCAATTGACCCACCAAAATTGAGGGACATATCCACCATTGTAGTCTGATACTAATAAAAATATCTTGTAGAAACATATTCGCCCCAAATACCTTGTTACGGTTGAGAGTGGGGAGAGTCAACTCTCCCTCTCCAAATACTCTCACATGGACACGCGTATACAGCCTCTACCAGAGAAGTCCTACTCACTACTTTCCCGCGGCTGTGGTGTTATTTACGAAATTGAGAGGATGAAAAGCGAATATCCTGCGCTTTGACCGGGTTCGTGGACACGGGAGTTGGAAAACTCTGATTCCAAACTAATGGTCACATGGGTTCCAGTATCCTGATGGAACATATGACGTATGACTCTATTATTGATCACCGGCTATCATGGAACTTCATTTCCTTATGTTACTACACTGCTTTGTTGATCAGACCTTTAGGTCAAAGGCACCGGGTTTGGCCCCCTAAGAAAACCACCTGTCTTGGTTTAGGCACCTGTGTAGTATCGCAACCTACACACAAATCGAATGATTTACGTAACGCATATCTATTTGGTGCCTCCTAGTTCCAAGATTTATGTGTTTAAATAAATAAATAAATAACAGTCGACTAATAAATTGGTCACCAAAGAAGCAAAGCCCTAAGTCATCGTATCGATTCATGGTATAAGGGGGTTTGTTTTAATTCCACATATCCCAATGAAGAATTCACTTGTGAATCCTAAACATTTCTTACGAATTATAGCCTAATTCATGAGATAAACCCATAGTGTAAACACATTGAAATCTTGATGGACTTTTGTTCTCTGAACTGGATGGTTTTGTCGTGGAACTTACATCGTTTTTCTGAACAACATCATCAGCACAACCTTCAGATAGAAGTGATGTGTTCGGTTATCTCCATATGTGTTTCACAGCTTGTCCTGTACACCTTGATGTTGATTGGTTCTTGTTGATCTTAAACCTGTCATTGTTTGTTTCTTTGTTTTGAATGTATCTCCCATTGGTGTTTGATTTTTTGTTCCACATTGTAATCTACACATAAATTTATACAAATCAATGTCACATTGAAGAAACCACACTAAACTGTAACCTTGACTACATGACATATTAGAGATTGTTGCCATGGTTACAACATGTAAAATCTTATAAAAATGATATTTTGAATATTCATACATCATTCATGTAATCAATGTTGATTCAACAAATTATCCTTATTGATTAATTACGTAAGTAGTTTTTGTTGTTTTTAAGCCATTATGTTTTAAGATGTACTACAATTTGGTTAAGTAGTATATTCTCTATTTAGTAGATAAATGGTAAACTGTACAAAGAGGTTTCTTTCTAGATTTCATCGTTGTACCTATCCCCCCCCCATTAAGTATCTGGTGATTAGCTTCAAAATAGATTTTCTAGAGTTCCAGTGAGAAGCCATGATCAATGGAGTTCAATCTTTGTCAGGTAGAGATAAGTATCTATCTCAGACAATGAATGAATGATTGTGCAACATCATGGATCGATTAAAGTTAGACATTAACATTGTCGTATGCCGACTCAGTGGTCTAGAGGTTAAGTGTTCGAGCGCGAAACCGAAAGTTCTGAGTTAAGCTACTGTGTGTGGGATCATGGATGTGCACTGTTCAGGAGTCTCATACTGGGACCAAACGGCAGTACAGTACTTCCACGTTTTCAATGGGTATAGCTTATATTGACTCATGATTTCAACTATTAAAGTTATTACAATCTCCGAAAACCTCTTATCATGTACTCACTAGTGACTGGATTCTAGTAAGAAATCGTTAACAGTGAAGTTCAACCATGTCTGTCGTGAGGCGGTTACTCACTGAAAACAATGGTGGACGATGGCGCAATATCATAGACTGGTTGAGGTTAGACATTAACACTATTGAATGCCGGCAGTAAGGCTAATGAACTGAAGCAGTAGGGTGAGAAAACTTAAACAAAATTCAAGAATTTTCTAGAATCCTGAGATTCAAGTAACTCAGCAATCAATAGACATATGGAAATCGATCAAATCGTTTAGAAGATTAGATAGAGAACTATAAGGTTATAAATTAATCAAAACAATAGGACAATTAAAATAAATGTACAAACAATGTAATTATAAATTAAACAAGTTGTCAGTCAGTTATAAAGCAATTCTAATAGTTTATGTCTTACTGAAAATGATATAGTCCTGTTTGGTGAAGACGCTGATAAAATGCAATCTTTTGATAGCACTGAGCAACAATACCAGAAGATTCGGGATGCGTTTCTCCCCCCCTCTAAATGCAAGTTGTTGCTCCAGGACTGGCCGACGTCAACACCTGAACTAAGGATAGGGAGTGAAGTGGTCGAACGCGTCGACAACTTCACTTATCTTGGAAGTCTGATCAGTCCTAATGGGCTGGTATCGGACGAAATCTCAGCACGGATTCGAAAAGCTCGTTTGACCTTTGCCAACTTACGTCACCTTTGGTGAAGGCGAGATACCTGTCTATCAATAAAAGGACGAGTATACTGCATTCTGTCCGTTCTGTCTTACTTTGCGGCAGCGAAACATGACCTTTAAGAGTAGAAGACACCCGTAAGCTACTAGTATTTGACCACAGATGCCTTAGAAATATTGCTGGCGTCTGTTGGGATCACCGGGCAAGTAATAGTGAGGTTAGACAGATACAGAGTATTAGGGAATGATGGTAAATCAGTGGATGAGGTTGTGAATATTCATCTGTTAAGATGGTTGGGCCACGCGTTACGTATAACTGAACTCCGATTACCACGACGTGCAATGCTAACCGGTGTTGGAGATGGTTGGAAGAAAGTTATGTGTGTCAAGTCCTTCTTAGTGCAAATCGAATGGTATTGACCAAGTTGCAATGTTGCCACTAGCCTAGGTGACTCGACACTGCGTGCACTATATTCAGATTAGACGGTAGTTGGAGCTACTCAACTGGAAACCCTGGACCAGGGTTTCGTGCCACTTGGCATCCGTCAACAAACTGCACCTGTAATCTTGAGGGAACTAATGCTCCCTGATGAATTCAATCCCGTGTCACCCGGCTTCACAGTCAGAGACGCTACTACTGAGCTATCCGGGCCGTGGTCGACCTCCTATAGGACTGAGATGTAATCGCAATTGATTGATCACTGGGTGTTGATCAATGTTATATGTATCGACTAAGTTGCTTCAAGATTACAGCTACACCTTGCTGACGAGTGCCATATAGCACGAAACCCAGGTCTAGGGTTTCCTGTTGACTAACTACAATCACCATCTAATGATTAAACTTTAATCGTTAATTGAAACTAGTGATCTAAACAATAAACATTCTATAATCTTTACAAATCCCCCTCACCTCTTTAACTAATGACATAAAAATATTGATTTATTATCATTATTATTTCTTTCTATAGAATAAGATAGTTACAAAATGAATCTATCACCATCGAAACTAAATTCAAAATCAAATGAATTAGAAACAGTCAATGAAGAATCCACTATAAAAGATACAAATACAAATGATGTAATGAATCAAGAAAGAAATTCTAGATTAGATATATTATCAAAAGCTAAAGGTGTTAAAAGATTATCATTGATAAAACATTCAAGTAAGTTATTATATCATATTGTTATATTATTTAAATAGTTGAAATCGTCAATCAATTAAAG